ACAAGGCTGTCCCGGGTTCAAGTCCAACCTGTGGCCCTTTGCTGCATGTCATCCCCTCTCTCTCTCTCTCCCCCTTTCACACTTAACTGTCCTGTCCATTAAAGGCAAAAAAATGCCCAAAAAATATCTTTAGAAAAAAAAGTTTTCCTTGACTAAAGTGTTCCTGACTGAACTCCAGTGTTTTTTAGAAACCTGTCACTATTTTTCCAGCCGAGATAGCATCACAAAAAAACGAGTATTTTAAGGCAAAACATGATCTTATACTAACCATAACCAAGTGGTTTTTGTGCTCAAACCTAAACACATTTAACCGCAGCATTGTTTAATGTGAAGTTTCAGTGTATTCGCTGCATAATAATATGCAAATGTAACGTATCTTTGGTTTGCAGGAATGTAATAAGCCAACATTTTTTTCTAGCAGTTGAGTTGTTTCAGGAGAAACATCTGTCAGTTGAGTAGGAACGGAGTCATCTTGTTGGCCTTCATTCAAAATTCAGACTTTAGTGGAAAATGATTTTTTGCACTGCCTCATTCCTTTGGGCTGTAACAACAAAAATCTTCCACCAAAATGTGTTTATGTAAATTATCACAGTTCATATTCAGGAAACTTTGTTGTCTGTGTTAATATTCTTTACACAACTATTTCTGCCATCTCCCATGTGAACAACACAGCAACAATATGAATGTCCTTCAGGAGAGACTGTTTGAAAATATTGTGTCTCTCACCTCTCTGTGACGGCTTTTATTTCCACTCTTATTCAAGTATTGTCTCTATCGATTTTCTAACCACTTCTTTGGAGCATAACTCAGCCATAACCTTATCCACACTGAGTCTGATATCATTTTCTTACATGTCAGAAATGTTAAGAGAGGAGGTGTACGCAAGACACAAGACTTTTACAGATCGAAGGAACGTTTTTATAGCTCTAAGAACTCCCTTTTTAATACATCTATACTGCAAGGACCTAGGAAGAAGGTCTTAGAACGCCATTTTGGGGGACTTTTTTAAGCTCCTGTATTTCAAAGTAGGCACTCTCCCAGCACAGGAAGAACTTTGAGTGATCTATGTGTACAGTGATAAGTCAAACACAACCAATGCACCAAAACACCATTTTTGCCTTTATGAAATAAGAAAGTCTGGCAGGAAATGGGCAGAGAGAGAGGGAGATGATATGCAGCAAAGGGCCAGGGTTGGAATCAAGCCCATGGTTACTGCGGCAAGGACCTAACCTTTGTACATGGGGTGCCCGCTCTACTAGGTGAGCTAGTGGGAGCCCCCTTGTGTGGAAAGTAGGTTCTCAGCTGGAACCAAAAAACAGGTTTTCTTTGACCTGAAGTGCAAACCACAAAAAACAAAAGTGGTTGTGTCATATTCTACAGGTTGAAAAGAGAGGATGGAGAAGGCAAAAATGGAGAAATCAAGTGAGAAATAGTCAAGGAAAAAAAGTTGATCCGTGCCTTGTTTTTTTATAAAAACAGATATTTTGTAAAAGGAGAACAAAAGCTTGCAGGTAATCAAAGCGATCTGCCACTTTGCTACTTCTGTTTACTTCTGTTGTGCATCGTGTGACGCCCTCCGTTAATGAAACATCCCTGATTACTATGGTTCTGCTAAAACTAGTGGAAAAGTGGGCTGGTTTGCTGAATAGCACCAAGGTTCCAAGAATCCAAATGGAACGGACACAAGAACAAGAGCTACTTTGGTGGAAAAGGGGTTTCAAGGAGTGCCAAGAACTGCTGGGTCTGAAAACGTCTTTAGAGTCTGCAAACATGCTAGCAGATTTGTTGGGTTGTACTTCAAAATCTTAAGCCCCATTTCCACAATGATAGTGCTAGAGGCAATGTCAGAGGATCACCAAAGTCATTATAACTCATCCTGAGGGGAACATGGATGTCTGAAACACATTTCATCACAACTTATCCAACAGTCCAATAGGTAGTTGAGATAAACATATGTTGACCTCATGGTGGCACTAGCAAAAAAAAAAGTCACCAAAATCAGTAGGATTCATCCTCTGGGAATAATGAATGTCTGTACAAAATGCCATGGTATTCCATCTAGTAGTCAAGTTTCAGAACCAAAGTGGTGAACGGACAGACTGGCAGACAATGCCTCTAACATGTCTGATAATAAGACACTCCAACTGTCTCATACATTTTAACATTCTCACTTTTAGAAAGGAAAAAGACTGAGAACCTGCCCTGTCCTTAACCCTCATTGTAGAGGAAGCCGTCTGCTACTTGAGAGTAACTTTCTCTAAAGCCCTGCGAGAGGTGAAGAAGTCAAACTTCCACCTTCTACAACTTCTCCAGAACGAGGTCACCTCCAGCTCTGACTGGGAACAGAGATGACAGCACCTTTACCTCCTTCGCTCCTCTCTTTTCTTTTCTAAGGTTCTCCCCAGAAATCTTCAGAGAGGAGATGTAAGAAGAAGGCCAGGGGCTTAATGGTTCACCCCCGCAGCTTTTCCTAAAGGAATAACATCTCTATCTTTTTGCCAAAGAACGACAATGGAAAAGGAGGAGATGGGTTCAAATATTCACCCCCCTCTGGCTTTTCCCAAAATCAGGTCAGGCCCCTTCTCCTGTTGAAGACAAACTTTTAAGCCCACCCCTGCTCTCCTGAAAACTTCTCCTCAAAGACAGAAAACCAGGTTGTTCCTGTCTCCAACTAAAGACAGAAGATGACAATTAAACGTCACAACAGATATCTTAAGAGAGAAAAGAGAGGGACTGAAGTTGAGGTGAGGGTTTTAAGCTCCCACCTGCTCTGCAGCTTATCAAAGGGAGACTGAAGCGTCACAACCTTCAACTGACAAAAGAGTCTTTGATTTCAAAGTGACCCTTTCTCGACACTTTATTCCTGTCTTGTAAAGAGGATGACGTGCAGAGTTTGCCTTTAGAAAAAGAGATAGAGTGATATTTTCAGGTCCAGTGTGCAGAATTTCAGGGAAATATTGGCAGAAATGGAATAAAATCTAAAAAGTAAGTTTTCTGTCTCTTTGGGGGGAGTTTTTCCTTATCTGCTGTGAGGGTCCCAGGATACTGTATGTTGTAAAGCCCTCTGAGGAGATTTGTGATTTGTAATGTGAGACTTTATAGATCAAATTGATATTGAAATTGAACGGAAATTACTCATCCCTTAGCGGCATGCTTTGGGATTGGGCTACAATGAACTTTGATTGACTAACCTGTACAGCACTTTGGTTCTGAAATGTTCTATATGAATACATTTGCCTTGCCTAGTGTATAATTACTTGAAAATAAGAGTCACTGTGTTTTCATTCCCTTAGAATTAGCTGTTTATATCTATATAGGAAGTGGGGCCTCATGTACGGAGATCAACATGTTGCACTGCCATGTTTCTACAGTAGCCCAGAACAGACAGACCAAACACTGACTCTAGATAGGGTCATTCACATTTTTGCGCAATGGCCACTGTAGTTAGAAGCCCATCTGCGATGAGCATAATCACAAATACACTCCTTTATTCAGGGTTTTTATCAGTTTTGGAGAGGAAGAGACCTCTGTGGATAATTTGACTCCCTCCAAAAACCTCCTGAATATCTGGATCTTAAATTATCACAGAAAAAAGTAGAGCACATATTAGCAGGATCTGGGCTTGTGGCCTATCTGCAACATGCCAAACAGTGTTGAAAAACACTGATTTGTAATGTGAAACTACTTAAAGCAGTGTTTTTACTGGTGTGAGACCTCTGCGGATAATGCAGCTCCCAGTTAAAACTCTTGAACAATGAACACTGAAGGTGTGAGAAGTTTCAGCTGGTTGGAACCTGCAGTCCTCACCACTAGACACCACTACATCTCAGTCTTACACACTGGCTCAGTCCAAATGTCCACGCTTCACCGCACTTGCAGACTCGCAGACTTTGAGGACACTTTACCGCGAAGTCTGGGAGTGTTGAGGGCGGCCCAAATTCACATTTCAACCAGTCCACAAGGGGCCTCAAGCAGACTCCCTGCAGACTTCAAGAGAGTCCGTCTGGGGTGCAGACTTCAGCAGACTCCACTGATTTAATTGCCTACAAGTCATTGCAATATGGACGTGACGTGGCAGTTTCTTTTTCAATAGCTCAATTTCAATCAATCAATTTTATTTATAAAGCCCAATATCACAAATCACAGTTTGCCTCACAGGGCTTTACAGCATACAACATCCTTCTGTCCTTTGGACCCTCACAGCGGATAAGGAAAAACTCCCCCAAAAAAAACCTTTAACAGGGCTGACTAAAAAAACAAAACTTCTGTATATATAAAACAGTTTCTGTAGCCTATTAAAACAACACTTGAATCATGTAGGTAAGGAATAATATTCAGCAACATCATGATACAGAAATATGTAGAAATAGGCTATAGAGGGAAATCAAAATGCATCGTATTATTGCAGCCTGCCCTATGGGTTGCACAGTGTAATGCCAAATGTAAAGGCTGGAAAAGTGGCCAAAAAATAACTAAAGATCTTCTACTGTAACTTATAGGCCTGCCCAATTTATTCAGTCATAACCCGGTCCTTATTTACAAACATCTCTGTATCTGTATGTCTGCAGTATGTATGTTATACAGAAATTATTTTTTGTTCACTCACAGAACAACCCTGTACATAGGATTTATATCTTGTTATCTGCAGGGACAGATGAGCACACAAAATATGACAGCAGTTACAATGACTGTAATTGTCACTCGAATGTTTCCATGGTAACATATAAGACAGTCTTGAGGGCTGTCTATCAGCAGCTTCTGTCTCCAGTCCAGAGGGTGGATGTTTGGATTCAGCCACTGTTCCTTTAACTTAACTAAAACCCTGCTGGCTTGGCTACCCCCCACCCCCCTTGGTCACATGACCCTGGTCAAGCACATCATAGCAGTCTCCCAAGAGTCACCTAAAGCCATGCTGATATATGGACTGTACATTAGTTTGTCTTAACTGTATAGATTTCATTTTTGAATGTATTTTGGTGTGTAGTCGTGTTGTTGTGTACCTTTGTATCCCTGCTCAGCCTCTCGCAGGTCGATCTTGGTGATGGGTTTGAAGTCGGCATCCCACAGTCGGATGCAGCCGTCTCTGCCTCCTGTGGCAAAACCCTCCTCACAGGAGTACATGCTGAAGATACCAGCCTGTGCACACACACACACACACACACACATGCAAATTTCCATATATGTGTGTAGGAGCCATGAATTCATTTAGAAAGGAATGAATCTTGTAAGATTAGTACGTTTTGGGATGGTTTATATTTTTGTATTGTTAAATGTTTTCTTCACAATTTCAAGGTAACACGACATGACTAACTGATATACAAACATCTCATTTTATGGTTGGAGTATTCCTTTGCTGTAGCTGAGAACTTTAAATGGACATCAAAGGTTTCTCACCCCGTGTGCAGCCTGAACTGTTCGTATCAGGTTGAGAAGCTTCCAGACGTAAATGTCCCCGTTTAGCGCCCCGGAGTATGTGATGTCATCTTTGGCCGATGCAACACAAAGGATGGTCTGCAGGTCGCCCGTCTTCCCAAAAATCCCCCTCTTTGGAGTGAGAGCGTTACCACACAGAGACCAGAACTACGGAGAGACATAGGGGACATATGAGACCTTTACAGACATGGATATGAGACATTGCTGGCTTCATCTATCTGTTAAAGACAGAGGAGACTTTTAACCACACTGTGTTTGTCACCAGCTGCCTTTTCCCAGTCCCATGACTGAAATGCCAAGCTCAAATTTTAAGCTGACGTGTACATAAAGTCCTAAGAAATGCTCAAAATAATTATAGTTTGAACACCTTTTCTGATTCCATGACAACCAGGCAAACACTAGCTTCTGATGAAGACCATGTGATGCATCTGAAAGCTCTGGAACAAGAGAGGACGTGGACCTTTTCAACTATTTCAACTTCAATTCTGAAAATCTTTTTGTCTTAATTCTGTCACTTTGGTGGACGGCTCTAAACACTACAGTACCCATGATCCCCTGCAGCAGTATCTATGAAGAGAAGGCCAGTCATTGTCCACGAGCATCTTGAACCTTTCGACCTTTATCAAACAACCAGATTATTTTGTTTTCAGCATTAGTAGGCTACTGACGATTCAACCAGGAGAGATTCATCCATCTATCCATCCATTTGGAGCCGGTCCCAGCTGACATTTTGGGCGAGTGGCAGGATACAGGTTGCCAGACAATCACAGGGCTGACACATAGAGACAGACAGACACTCACATTCACACCTACAGGGAATTTAGCACCACCAATTAACCCAACCTGCATGTCTTTGGACTGTGGGAGGAAGCCGGAGAATCCAGGGAACACCCACGCTGACACGGGGAGAACATGCAAACTCCACACAGAAGGGCTCCAGCCAACAGTACGTATTCATTTGTGTGTGTATTGTGTGTTACCTTGATGTGTTTGACTCCACAGCTCACCAGACGGTTCTGTTGAAACGGATCCCAGCTGACGTCGAAAATCTGGAGAACAGAGGAGATACAGTATGAGCACACATATACAGTCTATGTTACACACACACACACACACACACACACACACACCCTGTCAGAGTGTCCGGTGGCTGTAGCCAGGATCTTCCCTCTCTTCCACTCCCAGATACACACTGTGTTCTTGGCATCCAGGCCAACTGAGACCAACCGCTACACAGGAGAGAAAGACAGAGACAGAAAATGAGTCACATTGCATCGACTTTTTTAATACTAAATATTTATTTGATATATATAAAACATTCCTGGACCTTCACCAGGTGATTTGAGCTGCTTAAACAGAACCATAAAAACATTAACCATCCTTTTGTTGCTATGTGCGAATATATATTACACTACAGAACACTGGTTCTCAACCTTTATTGTATCAAGAGCCTCTAAACTGATACATGTTAGGTCACAGACCCCCATTTGATAACATTTTATAGCAGGTTTCTCCATCAGAAAAGATCTATCTATCTACACCAAGACCAAGTCATGACCAAGACAAGAGAGCATCAAGACCGAGACCAAGACTTTGAAGGGTTGAGACAAAGACTAGACCAGTGAGAATCCCACACTGAATGAGTCACTCCTTAAATTGATCTGAAAGATCTACATTGCCATTTAAACACAGACAGAAAACAAATCAAAATTCCGCTTCATTCACCTCTATTATTGCCACACTGTAAAATAATCCAAAAGCATTACAGAGGCTGAGTTTATGTGTGGCAACTCTGCTTTGTTCTCTGTGAGCAAACAATTATAAATACAAAGGAGCTGAAGTCAATTTAACCATCTTTATTCGACGCTCCTTTTTTACACAGGCAGTTAAGTGATGTCTCCGCAGTTGTGGTCTCAAGTCCTCTTTGTCTGTGACCAAAACAAGACCAGGAAAAAAGTGGTCAAGTCCAAAATGAGACCTTCAAAAAGTTATCTTGAGACCACGTTTGATCTGGAGTCCTACAACACTATGTCAACAACAGTTCAATTCAATTTTCAATTCAGTTTTATCTATAAAGCCCAATATCACAAATCACAATTTGCCTCCGAGGGCTTTACCGCATATGACATCCTTGTGTATATCTAACAGTGCCCAGCGGCGTCAGGGGGAAACAGGGCGGGACAAGAATGAAAGCTAAGGCAGCGAAAGTCCGACTGGGGCAGGTGGGAGTGGCGGTGGATGGGTCCAACAAACACCGACTTTCACTTTGTTTATTTTTGTTTTGTTTTGTTTTGTTTCGTCTTTCATTCTTTGTGATTTTATGTGCGGACCCCAGATAGATTAGCGGCTGCTGTGCAGCTGCTAATGGGGATCCAAATAAAATAAACAAATAAACAAACCCGAGAGAGTGTTGTTCCTATCCCGTGAGATTCTAAAGCCAAACCTTGTTCTTTTATCCTAAAACTAATTATGTGTTTTTGTTGTTGTCAGTTCACATTGTTGTACCGACGTAGTGCCTTTATTTTGAAAGAGACTGTATGTAAACATTAAATTTCCTGTGAAAACAGAAGTGTATCTTGAAAGAAAACAAAACATGTAACAGGCAGAACTTGATACAGCGTCCCAGAACGTCAGCAACCAATGCACCCAGGGTACCTTGCACATCGTATGTGGACGTGGAAAGTCTATGACCAAACGTGGATATGTGAGGCGGTCGGAGTGAGAATGTGTTGGAAATACAGAACACAATCTAACAAAACTTTCTGACTTCATAATGAATCCCAGAATAAGATCAAACTCCTCAAAACTCACTCACTTTTGGTTAAAGCTCATTAGTTGGAGCACATTTCTTTTCTTTAACATGCTGATAGTTAAATCATCATGAAAAGGTGCTCTGGACCAAATCAGTTCTCTTACAGCTGAAGCTCATTAGATGTTTGTGAGGGGCAGCGGAGCAGCTGAAAGCAGAATATAAAGTCTTTCAGACTCTGTGTCTGACTTAATAATAAATAAGCTGCACCAAAAAGCCTGAGAGCTTGATTTATTATTCAGTTGGATTTATGATTATTTTATTGATTCTGTGTTTACCCTGATTTACTCACAGTGGCTAAGTTCCGTCCAGAAGCAAAAACTGCCGACACAACAGCTCGGATCATTTACAGAGTCACTTCACAACTCTGATTTCATTTCATTCATTTTTAACAGTTGGGCAGAGGGGAATACGCCCTCAGAAGCACAGCCAAGGAAAACTAAACTCCATGCAGTTTACTGCCAAATCTAAAAGCCTGGTTTTCAAATATTTTCTGCCTCAGCAAAATAAATTCAAATTCAATTTACTGGTGAATGTTTGGAGTGTTTTCACAGTAGGTTTAAATGTTTTTACTCTTAATTTCTGGAGTGTGACTACTCTTCAAAAACTCATGTAAAGGTCATTTTGTTAAAGCTTATTTTTGTTGGATAGCGAACAGCAGCGTCTCATGTTAGAGTCTGATGTTTTGTTGGCTCATCCATCCTCCTCGGTGCTTGTTTCTCTGTAATAACATCATGTGACTTCATCCTTTATTCCAGCCATAATGACTTCAGCTGCTCCAGCCTTGTTTGTATTGTTTGGATGTGAATATCTGCGGGAGATTTGGAACAGAACGAACACCGGGCTTTGCCAGATAAGATTTACAGTCCAGGCATTTAGCTGACGGAGCAACTTACACGGAAGCAGAATTACTAAGAATGATATCATGAGGTGAAAGGCCGGAGGACTCCACACTCTCTACAAAAACACTGTACCAGTATAAATAGGGAGAGATGATTTGAGGTTTACTGAGGTGAAAAAAAGAATGTGGTCCAACATGCGACACACGCTCCAGCAAAAACACCAGGCACAGAAACACAAGCAGAAAGCTTCATTCTCATTCAAAACAATTACAAAAAGCTGCCTCCAGCTGCTAAAATGCTTTCTGCGGTATCTGGGCCTGAAGGAACAGTGTGTAAAATTTAGGAAGGCTTAGTAGCGTCTGGCAGTGAGGATTAATGACTGCAACCAGCTGAAACGTCTCCTGGTTAGAATTCCTTGAGTGTTCATCGTTCGAGAGGTTTTTACCAAGGGCAGAAGTATCCGCAGAGGTCTCTTCCTCTCCAAAACAAACAGACCAGGTGATTAAAACCAATAAAAACCCTAAATACAGCACTTCCACTTTACAAATCAGTGTTTCTTCTATGCTATGCTTCTACGCACTTTGCAGACAGGCCGCCCGCCCGGTGCTTCTCTGATAACTTAATGTGTGCTCCCCTTATTTATGATGTTTGGGACATTTTACCAGAAGCCAAATTATCAGCACAGACAGAGGTTTCTCCCTCTAAACACAGATGGAACAGGCTGTTTTAACACTAAATAAAGCAGTTTCATACAGCAAATCTTTTTTCCAGGTGATAATACATCCCATTTCTGACAATATATCCCCCTAAATCCTTCACACTGGACCTTTAAGGCGCAGATACAGGACCACAGTGCAGGACAGTCTCGCCTGCTTCATTGTTTTATTAAAACTGTTTCAACAATACATTCAACAAACAGTAATCTCGAGGAACAAACTGGGCAACAGGAAATGAACAGCTGCCTCCTGTGGCCGCTGGGATACGTCAGAACACAACTGTCCAGTCAGAGCAGAGGATGTAAATTATGCACGCAGCTCACCTACAAAGCTCCAGCTTCATGACAGCCAGAGACTGACTACTACTTTGTGTCTGTACGTGTGAGACTGAAGCACTGAGATACTCTGTTCATTTACTCAGAGTGCCGCCCACTCACAGCCAGAGACGACTGATTTCATACACCGCTCTCTGACAACACCCTGAGCTGTGTTTCATTCTCGCAGGTTGACTGACATGTGGGAGAAACTAGGGAGATGGAGGCAAACCTGCAAACTGATTGAACACCTGTCTGAAAACAACCCAACTCTCCTGAATCTGTCGCCCTGCTGTCAGGTATCTCGCCGCCAACAAACTCGCTCATGACTCAAAGAATGTTTGTTTGATGACGTTAACACCAGATGAACTGAGTCACAGTGGAGAGTCAGTGGGAGGAAATGATGATGGAGCCGCACACAATGTAAATCAACTAGATTTCTCTGCAGGTGAGTGTGTGATGGAAATATTTGAACATGCTCAATTTTAACAAGGTCGACTGCACAGGCTGCACAGGGCGATGACGATGGAATCAAATCTGCTGCGTTTTAAGAACCAAACACTTTGAATGTGAACACACCAGAGATAATGCAAGTAGATTTACCTAAGGGCTTTAATACAAATAGAATTACTGATTAGTTAGGCATATTTTCCTACATTACAGCAAAGTGTTGTACTTTTAACTCTGCTACATTCATCTAATAACTGGAGTTACTGGTTACTTTGCAGAAATCAGAAGATAAGCTCTTGTATTTTGTTGTTTTATGAGCTACAACATTCAAAAATGCTACTTCTTCTATCAATAAAAGAGCTCAAGTTAACACCCTTAATACCAAAACAATCTGCTGAATACCTCAACATGTCTCTTTACCCCCATCTATTACTCTAAACACCCAGCCTAATGATGTAATGTCCTACTTAATGCCCTTGCAACCTGTTTTGTACCCTTAACTTGTTAACATACAGCGGCATGCAAAGGTTTGGGCACCCCTGGTCAAAATTTCGTTTAATGAGAGTAGTTAAGTAAGTAGAAGATGAACTGATTTCCAAAAGGCATGAAGTTAAAGATGAAGCATGAAAAGGGCCTGAAGCAAAAGTTTGGGCACCCTGCACAGTCAGTTCTGTGTAGCATCCCCTTGGCGAGTCACACAGTCTCTAAACACGTTTTCTAACCAGCTAAGAGTCTTTCAGTTCTTGTTTGGGGGATTTTCACCCATTCTTCCTGCAAAAGGCTTCTAGCTCTGTGAGATTCTTGGGCTGTCTTCATGCACTGCTCTTTGAGGTCTATCCACAGATTTTTAATGATGTTTACTGTAGGTCGAGGGACTGTGAGGGCCTAGGCAAAACCTTCAGATTGCACCTCTTGAGGGTTTAGGTGTTCTTTTTATGAAATTCTGCACCCTTTTTTCTCCAAACACACCCAAAAAGTTCTGTTTTAACTTCATCACCCCACAGGACTTGTTTCCAAAAAGCATCAGGCTTGTTCAGATGTCCCTTTGCAAACTTCTGACACTGAATTTTGTGGTGAGGACACAGGTAAGATTGTTTTCGGATGACTCTTTCATGAACATCATATCTGTACAGGTGTCACTGCACAGTAGAACAGTGCACCACCTCTCCAGAATCTGTGATATCTTCCTGCAGGTCTTTTGCAGTCAAACATGGGTTTTGATTTGCCTTTCTAGAGATCCTATAAGCAGCCCTCTCAGAAAATTTTCTTGCACACTTTAACTTGACCTCCACAGTTCCTGTTAAATGTAATTTCTTAATGACATTACAAACTGAGGAAACAGCTACCTGAAAACACTTCAGTCTTCTTATAGTCGTCTCCTGCTCTGTGGGCATCAGTTATTTTAGTTTTCAGAGTGCTAGGCAGCTGTTTAAAGGAGCCCATGGCTGCTTGGGACAAGCTTTCAGGAGTCAGAATATTTGTAAAGCTTTGGAATTTGCGTCACCTGGCCTTTCCTAAAGATGACTGTGAACAAGCCAGAGTCCTAACAGGCTCATCAAGGTCTGAGACCTTGTAAAAGTTGTCTGAGAGCTCAAATGCCTTGGGTGCCCAAACTTTTGCATGTTGCTCCTTTCATTTTTTCCACTCTTCAATTGTACAAACCTAAAATAATACACTGATCCTGCTCAAAATGTTAAAAAAAAATGTCATCTTTGACTTCATGGCTTTTGGATATCAGTTCATCTTCGATTTACTTAGCTATTCACAGTAAAGACATTTTGACCAGGGGTGCCCAAACTTATGCATGCCGCTATACATACAGTAGGCTATGTGCTTAAAACTCTCTCATACTCTTAACATCTTATCATGCCTATTAACACCCTAATACCCCACCAAATACCCTAAAACTTTTCCTAACATCCCAACACCCAGTCCAACAACTTCACATTCTACTTAATGCTCCGACACCCTTTAACACTCGACTCATACCAGGCCTTTGCACAAGTCTGTATTGCACGTTTCCTTTGTTAAAACCTTTCACACTGACTGTGATGCATTTACTTGTTTTATTTATTGTGAAAAATCACAATACAAGGCTCCCTTGCTTCTCTCCACCGGAGTTACCTCCTTGGCTGTCGCTACTTGCTGGCCTTGTCTTCCATTGGCGCCACAGCTACATGAAGGGGCCAAGCTGTCCTCCCTCTCTGTCTCCACACTTTGACTTTCTCTGTCTGTGTGCTGTCCACAACCTCCTCCACAGCATTATCCACCTGAATGTTACTATCTGACATGTTGAAGTAGGCTATCTGAGAAACAAGGTGATACTGTGTGCCCTGTTTCTTTCTTGTTGCAGATGCCACATTTTCTTACTTCTTGGTCAAACAGCTCTCTAAAGGCTTCCGATAGATGTGGAAAAAACTGACCCTGTTCTGAACATTTCAATGACGGACCAAAGAGTCAGTGTGTAAATGTGATTGATACAGCATGAGGTCGTATTTGTTTTTAAATGTGCGACAACTGCATGCCATAAAAATGGACTTGATGTCCCCCCAGTTTTTCCAGTGCGTCTGCATTGTTGGAATTAATCAGCCCTTGTCAACTTTTTTTTCTTGGCTAATTCAGCCTATTGAACCAAGGTCAGAGCTAACAGTGCCTGGCGGAAATGGCATTGAGGGAAATCCCTCTGATTGGCAGTTCAGCACAGTGCACGAGAAGAGGAGCAGAAGTGAGGAAAGTAAACAAACGACTAAAGTCAAGAGGGAATGAAATCAAAACAAATTTGTAATATGAGATAAGTTGGGGTTTTTTTTAACCATAGAGCTCTTTAGTAGAAACAACAAAAAATGAACAATGAAAGCAATAAACAGTTTATTTTGGGTGATAACGCATTACGTGACATTGTAAATGTAATAAATTCACTTAAAGCTGGTTGGTAATGCATTATATTACTTTGCTACTACTAAAACATATATTACTGTCACCCCCAACACTGTTTGTACAGACTTTGTCACTTTTCATAACATGTTACCCGACTTTCTGGTCCTAATCTATTACATTATTTCTCCTTAAGTTACGAGTTTAATCTCATAATATTTTGACTTTATTCTCGTAGATCTACAACTTTATTCTCATAGATTTACAACTTTTTTTAATGACGAATATAGACTACTGCCGCGTGCTGGTGTGGAGTTATCTCCTCTCGTGCAGGAGCAGAACGTACATGCTGGTTGGCCATCGGCTATAGTCTTTATGGTGTGTTCAAGTACAACTTTTTGCTGAGATGCAGGCCATGTGAGGCAACACAACAGTCTGCCTTCATCACCACTAGTTCTTTGATGTAGGATGGGTGTGTTTGGGGCTTATCGCTCTTGACCTGCTAACACTGTACTTAAAATACATTGTTTGATGTGCCTCCAAACACCAAAACAATTTTCTTATACACCCTAACCACTTGTCTAACCCTTGAAACGTTATGTTAATGCACATCCTAACACTCTACAGAACACCTTAATACCCTAACTGAGCGCTCAGGGCAAAAGCAGCACAAACAAAATATTTAAAAAAAATAAATAAAATACAAGATTCAAGTACGTGTGCTGCTTCAGACACTGGTGAGATGATAAAATATGATCCAGGACGTCCAGTTAGAGTCACAGACTCTTGAGTTTAAAGGTTCATCAGATATCAAATAACTGCAGAAACAGGACTTCACATCTCTGACAAGTTATCACGTCAACAAATGTTTCGTCCTTGGTCTCCACAGTTAGGAGGTTAACAGTAGAAGTGCTGCAAAGTTATCTACCAGTATGTGTTACCATGGTTACAGTGGAGCCACATTCAAAGTTTCTGGCGAAATGACACCGTGCTGTTTGCCTGAACTTGAATGTTGGGACCTACGCCATCTCATTGGAAAGGAATGAGTGGGCTGTGTTTAGTTACGTCAGTCTGAACACTTTTAACACCTGCTCAACACCCCAACAGCTTGTCTAACGTCCCACATAACACGCCGTTACATTTCAGGATCAGTTGCATGTGTAGAGTCTTTATTCCACATTTATACCTCTTTTTTCAATTTTGGAAAAAGTCAGCTTTATAAAACAAAACAGAGTTGAGAGACATGTATTTGGGTTTTCCACAGTGTCAGTGTTGTGCCTAGTTTGTGTACGTCATGTATGTTGCGTCTCGCTCTTGTTCAGCCAACAATTGTTCAAGTTACTGAACTAAAGTCATTAATAATGATCGTACTTTGTCCTTTCCCATCACTCCTGCTCTCCTTTCCTCACCCTCTTTTGTCCTGCTGCTTTCACTGTGTGTGTGTGTGTGTGTGTGTGTGTGTGTGTAGCACTATTCTTCTATGACCTTTAGGTTGATGCACGAGTGTCCTTTAATGACTAAAACCATCTGTTGGACACACACAGCCACAGAGGTCTGCTTGGTGAATCAGATTATGCATCATTAATCATGTTCACTGTGCGCGTGTGTGTGTGTGATTTCAAACATGAGACGTGTGTGTCACCTGTCCGTCAGCGCTGAATGCGAGGCAGGCGATGCCGTGTGTGTGTCCGTCGCGGAGCAGAGAGACGGTCTGGACGGTGAAGGAGTCCCACACACACACATAGGGATCCTTCCCCACCTGACCCGTCGCCACCAGGGAGCGCTCCGGGTGCAACGCCAGGCTGAGAGGGGAGGAGACGGGAGGAGGAGGGGAAGAGATAAAGATAGAAGGTAAAGGGAGGAAAGATGAAGGGAGAAGAGTCAATGAAAAATAAACATATTCGACATTCTTCCATCAAATTGGTTATTAGTTATGACCAATCAGTGGATGTCGTTAATTTATTCATTCATTTATTTTCCGTAACCCTTTATCCTGTTAGGGGTCGTGGGGGCCTGGAGCCTATCCCAGCTGACATTGGGTGAGAGGCGGGGTACACCCTGGACAGGTCACCAGACTATCACAGGGCTGACATATAGAGACAGACAACCATTCACACTCACATTCACACCTACGGACAATTTAGAGTCACCAGTTAACCTGCATGTCTTTGGACTGTGGGAGGAAGCCGGAGTATCCGGAGAAAACCCACACTGACACAGGGAGAAATGGGTTCAAACCCCCACCCTGGGCTACTTTATCAATTAATAAACTTCGCTACTGAAAAGCTATTTGACTCAGGAACTAGTGACGTTACCACCATGCTTCTGAGAACGCAGTTAGATTAGTAACGTCTCTACTTGTGGTGACACTACTGCCCAACACTTCTGTTTGGTAGTTCAATCTGCAACAATATTACATAAATGACCATATTGTTGGTTTGTAAATATCTGTAAAATATTAATTTGTAGTATAAGCTGCCAGATAAATAAAAGAGATGTTCTCATTTATTCCCCAGTGCTGCATTCTGTTTTGTTTTTGTGTCGTACAAAGGGTGAAATATGACACATCTATGAATAAATAAACAAAGACAAAAATATGTAAAATACATAAACATATTCATCCTCAACCAACTTTTAGTTCAAACAATACACTTTTTATAAATCTGTCTTTGTCTTCGTCTTTATCTCTCTGAGGGTCAGTGTGTGTGTTCTCCTTTACAAAGCCTCTGCTATAAATACACTCACTGCTTAATGGCATCATTATCAACACTCACTCACTCACACATACACACACACACACACACACACACGCACACGGTCTCCTCTCCGCTCTGTTGATGGTGTAATGATCTCTGATGCTTGAAGTGTGTGTGTGTGGTCACGGCTGTGACCTTGTCCTTTCTCTCTTCACTTCAATGAGGACCAGATCTGACATCTTAACAGACATGTCCTCTCATCTTCCTCAGTCTGGTGTTTGGGAGACGTTCAAGACATGGAACGTAAAAGAGAAAAGTATACTGTGTGTGTGTGTGTGTGTGTGTGTGTGTGTGGAGTCAGGGAAGGTCAGTGTTGCTGGCAGAAGTGTGTAAACATTTGCAGGAAATAACAGAAGACTAAAACAGAACAGAAATAGAACAGGTGTGTCAGCCACAAAGCCTCATTGATCTCAGGGATGCTGTCCGCTCTGCGCACGCACACACGCACACACGCACACACACACACACACACACACACACACACACCGACATGCACACATACACACACGTTCCTTTCGACATCGACTCTCCCTCCTCAACCTGCCAGCCAATGAGCCTGCTAGCTGCCGCCGTTGCCATGACAACCACATCGCCAAGGGCACGGGGGCTGAGGATTGAGCATGACAACTGTAGAGTCAAGGTCAGACATCACAAAACACACACACAAACACACACACACCTGAACTCACCTCTCTGCTGGATGAAACATTCACAACTTCATGTTTTACTGCTCGTTTATCGGAACCTTTTATTTTGTTTCTTCGCGTGTTACGGCCAGGACTTTTATTTTGAAAATATCAACATATTTGTGCATCTCTGTGTGTGATGTTTAGTGACACATGGCTGTCACCTCTACTGCTACTGCACTACTTCCACTACTAGCACCAGTAGTCCCTGCACTTACTATTACTGTCTGCTACTGCTTACACTCTGCCTGCTGTTAGTACTGCTGCTGCTGTTGGTACAAGCATGCTGCCAGTCCTCCTGCTCCCTTATTACCCTCTGTGTTGCTTTAGATTGTTGGTTATATATTTATTGTCCTTTATTAAAGGTCCGGTGTGTAGGATTTAAGGGGATATACAAGCAGAAATGGAATATTATATAATAAGCGTGTTCTTTAGAGTATAATCACCTGAAAATAAAAACGTTGTTGTGTTTTCGTTACTACAGAATGAGCTGTTTATATGGACACAGGGAGCAGGTCCTGGTTTATGGAGATCACCATGTTGCTACAGTAGCCTACATCATGTTTTCATGTTTTCACCACCCTAGTTGGAAGTCCATCTGCAACGAGTAGCATCTGTGGTTGACTGGTTTGTAACGTGAAGCTGCTTTACTCAGTGTGTTTACTGGTTTAAATCACCAGGTCCCAATTGTGTTGAAGAGGAAGAGACCTCTACAGATAATTTGGCACATGGTAAAAACCTCCTGAATGTCTGGATCAGAAAGAGTTCAATAAACACTGAACCGGGATTTTTTGCTGGTTGCAATCTGCATTTTGAAGCCCTATTTAAACAAGCTATAGCTCATGATCTAAAGTGCATTTAGTGCGTCTCCAGCTACACGTCACTCGTTGAATGACGCATAATCTGGGCACAAAGTAATCATGAGCATGTTACAGTCCTGGAGGATTATTAATGTGCACCTCCTCCTGTACTGCCTTAATATGCACATTCAGCACATCCAATGCATCAAAACATTGTTTTCTAGTTGGAGCCGCGCCTCGTTTTCAAACTGTATGGTTTAACTAAAATGAACAATGACAGCAATATAGTCCACGATGAGCAGCGCTAAAATCAACCTGCGTAGTTGTCCCTCCATTGTGACATTAGAAAGTGTCACATTTATCTTGCAAGTGTACTATTCTTCAACGTTTGATTTACTTCCTGGATTTTTCCCGCATGGAAATTCTGACCAATCAAAAGTAGCTTTCTCACACAAGGCATTTGATCTGGTCCGCTTGTAAATGCTGCTGTGAGAACACGAACCAACTCTAGGCAATTATACAACTTTGTGACACAATGAGTCCCTGATTCAGACCAAAGCAAGACAACTCTAGGTCTGAAAGCCTTAAAGTAGATAAGTGACCTAATGTCCATAGGGCAGTCGAGTGACTTCACTGCTACCAAAACAAATAACAAGTATATTTGCAATGAAGTTACTATATAATATGTCAGTGTATATACTGCTATATAATATATCAAGGTACTAAGATTGACAGTTCACAATATCAACTGTTTAAAATGTGAATAAAGAAAATCTTGTTTCAGAGGTAACAAACTCATTTCAGCTACACCTCATTTAACAGTGAGGGTGGTAAATTAAAATATTGTTAATCTAACTGCTTATTGAGAATAAAATTTAATTATGTGGTTATAATGTGAGAAAAATGATTTCATTTATTCTTATTTATCTTAGAATGTGAATAGTGTACCTGAGGAACTTCAATCTTTCAGTGAACTTTAATATTTAATTGTGTTGGTGAAAGAAACCCTGAATGACAAACTGCACTGAATTATATAAGACCGAGGAACAGCTGCTAGACAGGAAGTGACATCAGGTCACTGACTCACTATACCTGTATGACCCTTTATTATCTCAGACTTTTACATCCATCAGACTGAACAAAAGCTCAAAGAAATCTCTGAAGGTCATCACCGTTGTAAAGAGACTGTCAAAGGAAAAATACGAGCGGAGAAAGAAATCAATGTGAAGTTAGAAGTCGTGTCTGTGTGGGAGGGAGAGTGAAAGAGAGACGGAGACGCTGAATGGAGGCTTTTAGAGTGGCCCCAATGAAAAATGGTTCTGTGTTGGATCATAAAACGATTCCTCAGGTTTTTACTGAAGCAGAAGTCTTCATGGTGAAGGTGCAGATATCTTAGTAGCATGTTACAAGACGTCTATAATGGATTCATGCCCACAGAGAACAGTGCAATATGATTGGCTGGAGACTGGACGGTGTGCATTACAATCAGATAACATCCATCCATCCATTTTCATCCGCTTATCTGAATCTGGTTCAGGGTGGCAGCAGGCCAGGCAAAGTACCCCAGACGTCCCTCTCCCCAGCCAGCTCCTCCTGGGGGACCCCAAGGTGTTCTCAGGCCAGATGAGATATGTAATCCCTCCAGTGTGTTCTGGGTCTGCCCCGGGGCCTCCTACCAGTGGGACGTGCCCAGAACACCTCTAACAGGAGGCGCCCAGGAGGCATCCTGATCAGAAGCCTGAACCACCTCAACTTTCGACGCAACAGCAGCAGCTCTCCTCCGAGCTCCCTCTGGATGTCTGAGCTCCTCACCCTATCTCCAAGGCTGCGCGCAGCCACCCCACAAAGGAAACTCATTTTGGCCGCTTGTATCCGCAACCTCATTCTTTCAGTCACTACCCAGACCTCATGACCATAGGTGAGGGTTGGGACATAGATGGACCAGTAAATCGAAAGTTTCACCTTCCGGCCCAGCTCCCTCTTCACCACAATGGTCCGGCAATGTCGTGACCACTGGTTCAGCATTTCGGCCGTCGCCATCTTGGTTTTTTGGAGGCTGAAGTGACCATATTTAGGCGAGAGGGTGAAGCTGTGGAGGAATGAGGTGTGGATCTGACTGAGAAGATGAGGAAACTATCAGCAGACACTCAAAGCAGCCCCACCCTTAATTATGTGTAACTTTAAGCCCTTATAAAATGTCAGCAGGTGAGTTATATAAAAATGCACCCCCTATACAGTTGTCATGAAGGGTTAAATTAGCTACAGATGCTAAAATCGGTTTTTATGCCAGGCTATAAACATGTTTATTTCTGCTGTAAAGTTGGGCATTTTAACATGGGGCTCTATAGGGATTTACTCTCTTCTGGAGGCAGCCTCAAGTGGTCATTTAAAGAACTGCAGTTTTTGGCACATCTGTGTTGTCTTCATTTTTTTCTCCGGAGGTTGCCACTTGCACAAAAACCACTTGGTTAGGAAAAGATTGTGTTTTGGCTTAAAACACCTGGTTTTGGGGGCACAATCTCTTCTGGAAAAGTAGTGATGTTGCTATAGAAGTGCTTGT